ATGTGCGAAACAATAACGTGACGTAACAACATGGCGGTTGTCAACTTTTCCCGTGTGGACTCTTCGTGAGTTGTGAATTTGCCTCTTTTCAAGTCTTCCTATGGTGCGTGACCTTCATGTTAGTAACCCAACAACAAAGAAGGTATTGAAGAAGCGTTATGCGTGATATTGTGGACAATGGTGGCGTAATGTGTGCAGACGGGAGGTCTTGCTTTCGATATGTATGTCAGGTTTTGTTGTCTTCTGTATTGTGAGTATCAGCCGTAGAGGCGGTGAAGATCTGGGTAGAATGACTATGGTGCCAAGTGGGGTGACTGTATTGCTTCAGTATGGGCCCTAATTAATATGCTCCTAATCCCCGGCCGGTGGTGATAGTACCAAGCTTAGGAGAAAATAGCCTCGATTAACAGGAGATACGGGATTGAATGTCATCTATCTAGGTGATATTGTCAAAACGAAACACAAGCCACTGGAGATATAATGGCAGATAGATGTCCCGTGCTCCAAGATTGATAGATTCAGTGAAATTAGTCCCGTACAGGGTGGCTCAGGGTTAGTTCGGAGTTTACCGGGTCAGAGGGCAGTTTGTGGCAATGTGGGAAACTCTTCCAAGGCGAATTAGCTGGTCATTCATCACATGGAAAAGACATGTAGTTGCCATCTTTGTGGGTTGGCAGCTGGCGACATGTTAGTCCTGCATTTACCACCCGCTGTTTGCCCCACACTGATTGGACATATTCGCAGCGGCGATTCATCTACTGACTAGATGAATATGTCCCTGTCTCCCCCCCCACATGAGGCATTTGTAGCAGGGCGTTGTTTAGCATCATCCAATCAGTGTGGAGCAAACAGCGTGACGGTTGCTCCTTGGCACACGAAATCCCGGTCGGTTGCTTCGAAAGCTTCATTTTTCGAAAATAACCCGGCGGTTAGCGCTTAGATTTTGAATGGATCTTCGATCGAATGCCACGAGAAGAAGAAGAAGTGTCGACCTTTAAGTTTATCTGGTGTTCGATCTGGAAGTCCGGCGATTCTAATTTCTGGGTGTATATCGGCCTGGTGCTGGAGCGGTGGAAAATGAGCTTTGCAACCTTGTTCTCCTCTTATAACGCGTAGTAACAGTCAACGCAAAACCCACCAAATCGCTAAAATTCGCCATTTTGAGCCAAAGGAACGACAATACACAACATTTATTTTGAGCTTTAACATAGACATTACTCGATGTAAGTTTACGGTATTAAGACTCTTCAATATTCCCATACATTTCTTTATATTTCGAACATACAAACAGACACACCGCTTGTATGCCCCCCCCCCCCCCCGGTGGACAATCCAGTCCGTCTCTTTATTGTCTTTGGCTCAAAGTTCAAACCAAAGCTCGACCAATACGCAGTGCATTCTGGTCTGCTGAAAACGAGGCTCTACCACTGCGCAGAGCATTATGGTCCGCTGAAAGCGAGGCTCAAACACAGCGCCGAGCATTATGGTCCGCTGAAAGCGAGGCTAGTAACGACGACAAAATCTCGATTTCGCCTCCATTTATTATATGAACTGCTGTTCCGCTCACTCCGCAGCAATAAATGGAAATATAGAAAGTCAGGGAAAAGTGAATAACAGAAAAAGATGGGAAAAGAGTGAGAAAAGAATTGAGGGGTTATCAGATCAATTAGATATATTTTTTTTACTTCTACTGATATTTTACTTTAGAAAGTAGGGTATCTAAAAGATAGTAATGCTGCGGCACAATTTATTGATAGTGACACATTTAACGCAGTAATTCATCCATCTGCGCGTTCCAAGACTTCCATTAACCTTTATTTCTTAAAGTACTGTCAGATCGTAGCGTGGAACTTAAACTCCGTCCTTGTATGCATCACCTTCATGCATGATGACGCATCGATGGCGAGGTGTGACAAGGAATCGAGACAAAAAGGCACATAGTGATCTGAACTATGTTTAGACATGAAACGATACACATCAACCTCTCCTTTACCAGATCGCGAAAGTCGAAAGATGTGAAAATTGTAGGTGCAGAAATCTAACGTATAAATTCTGTACAGGCACACATTAAATATCTCTAGAATGTTGACAAACTGTGTCGAGGACGCGTCCATCGCGATGTGTGAAAATGCTCAAGCTTTAGCTTAAATAATGTTTGGATGAAAAGGAATTAGACCCGTAGCCCGCAAGGGCTACGGGTCAATAGCCCATGAGGCGAAGCCGAGCAATAATAAAGAATAACAAAAGCAATAATAAAGTTAGCAAATGCAAGTTGAAGAAATATTTATTTGAGAATAAAACGAAAGAAAGCGTCACGCTCGATTGCGCCAATTTTGCTGCTCGAGGACTATTACTAATAATCCTCTAGTAGCATAACCAATTGAAATGCAGGATTTGCATTTGTCCACTAGTCGGGTGATACTAAATCAAATTAGCGTGTTCTACGGTTTTCGTTTGTTTTAATTATTCTACAGGCTTTAGTAACGACGATTTCTCTTCATCTAAGAATTAATATTCAACCAAGGAGGCGAGACTGCTGAGAAATGACATACTAAGTTTAAAATTAAGATGTCACAATTAATCGACCAGATTTACAAACTTTCACATACTGCATTGGGAACAAAAGCAAGAGTTGTGAAAGTCAAGCACGATCTCCTTCACATCGTTTTACAGGTAAATCAGAGCAAAACATACCCGCTAACCTTTCTCACTGGAATCCACGCGAAAGCTTGACGGTGTGAAATCCTCGTGTTGTTAATGGCGCAATGCACTTTGGTAAAAAGTGGCGCAGCGCACTCTGGTTAAATGCAATGCATTCATAACCTTGTCTACCTCAGTAAAGGAATATCCTTCTTCGAGAACACTTTGTAGTATATTTTTAATTCTGCCTTGAATGATATTTTTGGTAGTTCTTTCAGAGAACTTGGTATCTTATTCCATAGTTTAGTACCAATTCTTGAAAAGGCGTTTTTAGCAGACGTCTACATGCATGCCTCGAGAACTAAGACCTCAGACCTGAAAAACTCAGACCCGGTGGGTGTCTCGAGAACTCAGACCTTAAAAAGTCAGACCTCCTGGGTCTCTCGAAAACGCGGACCCTGAAAACGCAGGTCCTCTTGCCACTCGGTGTCTTGTACCTCGGTCTTGTACGTTGCGGCACAAGCAAAGGCCGAAAGCTGCGAGAGACAAGTCGGCGAGCGAAGCGAAAGGTGAAAATGCCAAGCTTCATTATTTTAATCATTTCAGATCTCCTCCTTGATGGAGAATAGCAGCGAGTAATACCCCTATTCATGAATAATATTTTCCGTAGCTCTGTTCCTGTTAGCTCTCATGCGTTGCGCAGCAGCAAAGTCACGAGAGATGAGTCAGCGCCAACAATCAGAGCCTGCTCGCAAGCTTCTTTCGCCCAGTACGTCACGGTCAGAATCCCAACATAACGTCATTGTTACAACTATATTTGGGATATGATCACGTGATCGAAGGCCTTCTTAATTTCATGACGGAAGCGCTGAAAATAGGGCAGAACAGAGTAGTTTTCTCGTCAACAGGAAAGGAAAATACATCCTTTGCTCCAAAATGAATAGGCTTTTTGGGAAAGGAAAACCGAAAGAACCACCCCCAAATCTGACAGATGCTATTGCTAACGTGAGTAATTCAAAATCGAACTCGATGTCCTATCTGTTTTTGTAACAGAAACTTAAGTTAATTTACTTTTCTTTAGGTTGACAGTAGAGGAGAGTCCATAGAGAAAAAAATCAGCAAACTTGATGCTGAACTCCTGAAATACAAAGAACAAATGAAAAAAATGAGGGATGGACCATCGAAGGTTTGTTTGGGAAAGTGGCCTAGACCAACTAACTATGGTCTTGTTGAAATCAGCTTGGCCTAAACCTTTTATGTCAATGAAATGCATTTAAGTCGTTATGTTTCCTTCGCAGCTTATCTCCTAGTTTCTTAAAAACGTTTGACAGGACCTAGTGAAGTCTATTCATTTGTAATATCTTCATTCTGTAACAAGTAGAATGAGACTTTCTCAAGTATGATTGTAATAGTAATTAGACCTGTCGTACAATTCAGGGAGTAACTGGGTGAGTAATTTCAAAATTGAACGAGTGCATATTGTGAGGCCAATTTAAAATTGCGAGCACGATTACTCTCTGAATTGTACAACACAAGTTGCAATTACCAATTAATCACATCAATAACAAAATTTTGAATTAAAAGTCTTTTGAGAACTTCTCTTGGACGAAAAGGTGCATGGAGCCTTCCACAAGTTTCAAAAACTGCAGGAAATATTCAGAAGAAAGCCATTAAGGCCCAAATTACAACAAGTTGATCGCTTGCTGATTACGTGACAAATAGGTGTGCGAAGAACCAATCACGGTCAAGAATTTTGTTATAGATATGAATTAAGACAGAATTGTAGGATGGCTGTTACTGGTTAATCATACATCAAACTAGTATGCATTTAAAAGAAACTAGTGGTCAGTTAAACTCTTTGGTAGTAAAGAAAACCTTATCTTCCCTATAACTCCTTTCATAATTATTCATACAAATAAAATTGTTGTTAGTCTCACTATTCAACGTTTGGTTCTTGAAATAGGGAAATAGAAATCATAAAGAAATTGTATGTTAGTTAGAATATGGTTAAATATAAATCTAACCTAAATATAAAACTTAAAGGTAAAAAACTGTTAAAATTATGAGTCTAAACATTTTCGATCTGTTTAATCATCATCAGAGTGAAATAATATACATACACTCAGTGTTCTTATAGTTCAGGTAATGCCAGTTATGTAATACCTGTTCCCATGGGAACAAGGTGAGGTCCAGTAATTGCACTTGTTTGTTTAGTTCTGGACAGAAGCGTGTGATGTAGAACGTTTCTTTTATTCTCCTTTTTAATCATGATTGGGCAGTGGTTAAAACTTCCCACATGAACTTGTGGTTAGGGTGTTTAGACTCATAATTTTAACAGCTTTTTACCTTTTTACATTTTACGTTATATCGGCGAAATGTATATTTAAATCTAACCTATTTAGCAAACATGTATTGGAGTGCATCTGCATGGCACTGTAAGCTTATTAGGCCTAGTTTGCAGTAGAGCAAATTCAAATATTTCTTAATGTTTGGCAAAAAACAAATTTGCAAATAATTTGGCAGTGGTTGCATCAAACCAACATGTCTTAACCAAACTTTGTTGTTGACTTTTACGCTAGTCACAGTCCCATGTTAAAAGCATTTTTCACTAGAGATGATGAAACATCTTCCCCACAGATTATGCAAGAATGGTTACTTTGCCTTCTTTTTTTCTTTCTTGACATTTTTGTTTGGACTGCTGCTGGCGTTACTTGCATTGGGTACTTGAATAAGAAGGTGAAGGAGATGGTGTTGTTTCCATACTGCGATAAACATTGTGAAGAAATTTGTTTATTTGTTCAAAAGATAGATTTTTAACTATTATGTTATCAGCAGACCTTTGACATTTACCTTGACAAATTTTATGTTGAGGTTCAATGCACTGTGTAGTCGATGTCATTCAATACCTTAACCTTACATGTCCTTGATTCCAGAATATGATCAAGCAAAGAGCTCTTAGAGTACTAAAGCAAAAGAAACAGTAAGTTGCATGGATTACATAGATAATGAAACATTTTAACACATAACACAATGGCCTAAGTAGATGAATATTTATCTTGACTTCATCTCAGTTAAGATTCACCATTGTTATATAGCTGGAGTTTACATTGAATCTAATGCATGCTACCATTGGCTGATTTATGGTCATGTGACAATGGCTATATCTAATTGTTGACATCAGCAACAACCAAGCAATTGTCGCCCACTCTCCGACTAACCAGAGGTTACTTTTACTTCTCCTTGACTTATAACTTCACACTAAGCTCAAGCTGTATAACCAAACACTTAATCACTGGTCCCTTGGGAAACAGTTAGTCGTGTTTTCCCTCAAATCTTGATGTTTCTCTCAATTCTCAGCAAAAAAACTTACTGTTACCATCAGGATCATTGATTATGTCTACAATGTTCACGTCGCCCTTGGCAAATAATATATTATTTATTACTATAGAATGTACTCAACTTAAATCTCATAACATGTTGTTTCTCTACAAGGAGAGACTTGCTACACATGTATCTCAAATTAAAATTGTTACTAACCTTGTTCATCTTGAGAATACATGTGTGATTATGTTATTATGCTTGGTCCAGAATGTATATTAAGTTCCAAAAAAAATATCAATGAAATTTTACAGTTGATGAATTTTCCAACTTAGTGAGTTCTAGTTATTTAACTACCTGTACTCTTCTCTAAATATTGCAGGTATGAAAGTCAACTTGAAAATCTCCGGCAGCAGTCTTTCAATATGGAGCAGACAAATTATGCTACACAGACACTTAAAGACACTAAAACTACGGTGGGTGTTTTCCATGTGCAGCTGTTACATTTGTACATCCACTATACCTTAGAAAATTACGCATTGACTTAACTACAGCTTGCAACAACTTTCACTCTCGCATATGATCATGCTCAAATTCTGATACAAGTTAAAATGTTTCAAAACTTGTGTTGAATTGCAGCACTATTTGACCATCAGTTTGACACTTGAAAAGGTGAACATGCAGTCTGCAAAACCACTGCATGTAGCAGAACTGTGTACATGCAGTGTACCAGTAAGAAATATACATAAAATAAATAAATGAATAAATATACATTTATATAGCGCCATTTTCCATTAATTGTCCATGGCACTTTACAATACTTTAAAATTAAAATCCTAAGTTTAAAATCCTAAGAGTGGCTTTCACCTGAGAGTTGAAAAATAAAAACCAAAGTAATCACTCAAGCCAGTCATAAACGACACAGAATCAAGTGAACCAGTCAAAACCCAAGGCAAATACTTGTAGCTGGTGTGAAGTGCAGGAAAACCTGCGAGCAAGTTACAATTGGTTTTGGCTTTGCTTCTGATTGGTTTAGAAAGTAGTGCAAGATTTTTATACCAATTGCTGTTAGAGTAGTCAAGCAAAACCACAGCAAATGCAAATTACTTTTTATACGTAAGTCAAAACTGCTGTCATCTGTTGAAATCATGTTTGGTGTTCATCCTTGGTCTCACTGAGGTATTGCCATTGTGATAGTCTTTATGCAGTACTGTATGTCAAGTGTGATTCTCTGGGTGAGGGTGTAGTTCTGAAAAGAACCGTAAGTTTTTGAAGACTATCTTTTCAACATCCTGAGCAGAATTCACCTTCTGAGACAAGTGGAAAGTGTCTGTTAGTCACTAGTGTTGTAATCCTGGTACATTGAAACTGATTGGTCAGTTTAGCTATGATTGAATTGGCTTCAAGATTCTTGTACAACCTGTCCACAGTTCCAGTCATACGAAGTTTAGTGACTCGTGTTTTCTCCATACCTGTTCTGTCTGCCAGACTCCATATATCAAATAGTTTTTGTGCAGGTACATTTTAGATATTCAGTTGACAAAACAGAACATATCAAAGATTTTCCATCTTATTTTAAGGTTGATGCTATGAAGCTGGGACTTAAAGAGATGAAAAAAGAATACAAGAAAGTTAATATTGATGAAATCGAGGTATGCCTTGGTTTGTTGTAAGCATTTATTATTAATTAGTATTTTAATTATTGTGGTCCATGTACAGTGTATATCACTGTTTCTGTCAGACTGTGCCATTGTGGCAATCCCACGTTGCAAGGGGAAGGGAGGTTTCAAAAGCCCATTAGAAAGGATGACACTGAAATGGAATTTCCGGTGGGGGGGGGGGGGGGGGGGAACTAGACATTTTATTCATCACTCGTTCATTTTTTTGCTAAAACTATAATAACTTTATGGAAGAAAATGGCTGATTAAA